GGTTGAAGACGAGGAACGAAGGTTCAAATTGTACAAAAGCGGAAAATTTTCAACTTGAGCAAACTTGAGCAAACTGAACATGACTGAAGCAAGTAACTTAATTGCAAATTTTTACATGCAAATGGACATTGAATGGAACTCTTTTTGGGTTGACTAATTTACATGTCGACCATAAAACAACAACATTTTAGAGGACTGTTTATCGGCTGTTCAAGAAAAAAGGCGCCGAAATTCCTTGGTAACTTCATTTGTGAAGAGTTTTTGTTTAGATGCAAAATATTGTACAAAACTGTCACAAACAAATTTATTAAATGCTAATTTTTACATTTGTGATGTCACATTTTTTAGATGAAGAACTCATTATAAGAATAGATTATTTTGTGTTCACTGTCATGCTTTTTGATCAGATTCGTCGGTAAAAGAAACCAGAAATGTMGATTCTTTCATGTATGARCTTTTTCGCTTATTTTTTATACCTTTTCACTATCTTTAGACATTTAAATATAATAGTTAATGGTGCCATTGAARCTTTGTTACAAAACAGTTTTTGTAAAAGCGAAAATTTCTTCACTTGTACAACTTAAAATTCAATCTAAAAACACCGGCGGCTCTTCACAACTCCACATCTCAATAAGCGCGCGGGGAATGCCGGGAAAATCTAAAAATAGCACCAAGAGGGGTAAATGCCGTTCCACAAGCCCATGGGAAGAGGAAGGCTCCTAGTAATGGGCTCCTGGTTTTGATTGGTTTATCGAGCCGATATATTCAGATTTCCTCAGAAGTACATAACCAGAAGTGTCCATCTCCCCAATAATATCGCCACCATCGATCAGATGTCCCGATAATCTATTTTTAGACAACCAGTCGCTACGCGCGCACGTATTAGCACGGCACCTGATTGGTCCTTGTTGATCTACTTCAAGAGSGGACAAGAAAGGAAAATTATGTAGTCGATGGAAGCGAACGAAGTGAAGTTTGCATTTACGAGAATTTTRCGCCTTTTGCTGAACAACCATTTTTGAATTCGATAGAAAACATACATTACTATATGAGCAATGTAGCGAAGGAAGTTCAAGAGCAATATGGTCTGCGAAAACAAGGGAAAAGTTCAGACAGAGATGAAGAAAAATGTAAAACAGCGTGCAAAAAAAGTAGTGTAAAGTAGCTTCCTTACAGTCAAATAGAGTCGGACTTAAACAAAACCAAAGGTTAAGTAATTTGATAGACAACGTACTTTACTATATGAGCAATGTAGCGAAGGCAGTTCAAGAGCAATATGGTCTGCGAAAACAAGGGAAAAGTTCAGACAAAGATGAAAAATATGCAGACAAAAGGAGTGCGAAGAAATGTCTGCAAAAATGTGATTTTTGTGGCGAGAATTGTTCTCATTTTAATAAGAAATCTGTTCTAATAGAATTAAAAAGCCCTTAGACTATACACAGAATTGTAGTAAAGTATTTTAGAATCTAAAAAGCTTTATAAAAAAGGGAAAACTAATACAAAACGATGCCCGAGTGCGAAAAATGTCACAAAAAGTCAATCAAAAACTCTTTTAGCAAAATGATGATATTATATTGTGAACTCTTCATTGTGTAAGGAGTTGAAAAAATGATTCTTCTTTGAAAGAAAAAGCGAGGAATAAACAAACTAGCGAATAGGTACAGAGGGTAATAACGAAATCATGTCGAATTTTAAGTTAACAATAAACAAGATAAGTTAAGATGAAAAGGCACAAACAAGAAAAGTCATCATAAAAGAAATATCGATAACTAACTTGAATTTCAAAACAAACCCCGCCTACCTGAAAATTTACAGCTTTTCCATCTCACGTTAAGAGTCGAAAATTACTTTACCTTTGGCTTTGTTTAAGTCCAGCTCTATTTGACTGTAAGGAAGCTACTTTACACTACTTTTCTTAGCACGATGTKTTACATTTTTCTTCGTTTTTGTCTGAAYTTTTCCCTTGTTTTCGCAGACCATATTGCTCTTGAACTTCCTTCGCTACATTGCTCATATAGTAAAGTATGTTTTCTATCGAACTCAAAAATGGTTGTTCAGCAAAAGGTGTAAAATTCTCGTAAATGCAAACTTCACTTCGTTCGCTTCCATCGACTACATAATTTTCCTTTCTTGTCCGCTCTTGAAGTAGATCAACAAGGCCCGAGGACCAATCAGGTGCCGTGTAATACGTGCGCACGTAGCGATTGGTTGTCTAAAAATAGATTATCGGGACATCTGATGGTGTCGATATTATTGGGGAGATGGACACGGTTAYGTACTTCTGGATTCCTGGATATCACTTCAATGAGGATAATAAATAATGAAGCTTCAGAGCAACGTCCTCAAAAGCCAAACATTGCAAATTTCAAAAAATGGTACTCGGTAAACATACCACTAATTTAGTATACAATTAGTAATTGTAGTAAAAGTATTTAATGTTGCAAGTTTCAGTTTGCGATATGAATAACTTGATTATTTTTAAACTCGTTCCCAGTCTCCTTTTGAATTTCCGAGAAAACAATCTCACTCGCTCACTGCACTTTACACTCAYTCCAACYCTCACAATCCCACTTTCTCATTATCTCTCTCGAGCGCCCTCTTGCCCTCTTCTCATCTCACTRTCACACTCACTCGTTCGCTCGCCCGCGGTTGCCTTACTCACTGTTAATTTATTCATCTAATCACTAATTCATTTGCATTTAATACATAAAGATTACAAAGCTCAAATCTCTCAGTTAACTACAGAGCTTGACATACACAGAAAGACCCAGAGGTAACCATCCTCGTGATATGAAGAAATAAACTTCTTATAAAAAATAATAAAAAAAATTGTTCATGGGCTATTGCTTTTGTTCCTCAGAAAGCTAGAGCGAAAGAATTTGGTTCTTCAAAAGAAGCTGGAACACATCTTAGAACGAGAGGTTACTGCTCAACAAACTCTAGATGAAGTTTTGAAAATTGTAAGTGTCATTTTGAATTTCTCAGCTATTTTGTTAGTTTACTTTATTGAAAACTGAAATTTTTGATACCAACGTTTCTTAGGCCGAGAAAACAGCAGAAGAAAGAGATAGCTTCGAAGAAATGGTAATTAAAAGTTCATTTTTCCAGCTAAGTTAAAACAAGGCCGTTTCCTTTCGAAAGCGATTCGGCTGCTTATAAACGAGAAAATAACACTTTAATTAGTATTTTTGTGTTGAATGGACATTTTTACTATAGTAAGAATACAAAAGATTAATTTTACCGCACACTTGTGTAAATTCTCGCGAGCTGATTAGCTGATTACAGTGTGTCAATAGTGCGTCACACTGTGTYGACACCATCACGTCTCGCGCGCGTCCTCAATTGAAAGAAAAGAATGATTTTCGCTAATTTTAGACTAAAAATGTGKTAAAAAACAAATTGCACACGTTATGTTGTGTATGTCCTCYTATTGACACAMTCTTGACGYCATAACATGCTCAAAACTAAAGTGGACCCACGAGCGCAGCGAGAGGACATRCAACTYAAAACCGTGCGCAATTTGTTAAATTTCAATCGTGTTAACCGGTCTTCAGTGTGACCCTGGGACGTATCAAATATCACATTGCTTGCAAATCTTGCAGGCCAAAACCCAGAAAATGAAGCAGAAAAAATCTAAGACACTATTAGAACAAGGAGATATGAGCATCATTGGTCTTCATGAGAAACTMAAGGTAAATTTCTTAAGGTTTAGAAATTTCGAGTTGATTTGACCCCGCACGCTCGTTGAGCTAGAGTTCAGCTGTACTAGCTGAACAAAAGAAAAGTAAAGAGCTAGAGTGATCGCACTCAAACCGAGCAACTGTACAAACTAAATAGTGCTCTTTAGTTGTATTTAGTAAATCGTGTACTCGGTAGAGTGATCGCACTTTAACCGTGCAACTGTGCAAACTAAATACATGTAGTGCTCTTTAGTTTTATGTTGTAAATCGTCTCTGTAGACTACGTAAATTAAATTGTATTGATGCAAGTGAAGCATTCAAGTCTTGTTACAGGTCCACTTTTAGTACAAATTAGTACTACTTTGTACAGCTGCACGGTTTAAGTGCGAGAGTGATCGCACTTAAACCGTGCAACTGTACAAAATCTAAGTAGTACTAATTTGTACTAAAAGTGGACCTRAAGCAAGACGAAATTGAATRCTTCATTTGTATCAATTCAATTTAATATGCGTACCGCATGCACGATTTACTAAATACAACTAAATAGTACTATTTAGTTTGTACAGTTSCACGGATTAAGTGCGATCACTCAATCACTCTGCAATAAAATTGTGTGTCTAATTAATGTAGATATAGTGTTTCCTGTCTAGCATTCTTCGCAGGTTAGTTAAACGAAAAAGGACTCTTCAGTTTCASTCTTTCTGTGTTCAATCTTGWCCGAAATGAAAAGGYGCCTAAAGATTATTTTTTCTTASCTTAGCACAAACCCTCCAGCAGCCTTACAGTAATTCCGCTGAGTGGAGTTACCTTTTTTTGATTAGCCAATCAGAGCACATGTGAGAACTAATCAATATTCATTTAAAACTGAATCATGGCTTGTTTTCTTTAGTCGAGCAAAAGGAAGTCCAGTGAAAAAGTTGCATTAATCACAGGAAAGTAAGTATTRTATGCACGGAGAAAAAGTGCGTCTCGATTGTATTTTCTTGTTGCAGTTGGGCGTAGTTAAAAGAGTCGCAGTTTGCATTCCAAAGGAGCTTTAATCCAGAAATCACATTATCATATAACATCATGTCACTATTGAGGCCCATTTAATAATTTAGCACCATTCTCAGCCAATCAGAGCAGACGTACTTGTGTGCAAACCCTGAAACCTCAAAAATRTTGGTGTTCTTATAAGTAATAGCATGGCTCTGAGGGAGATTAGGGATTAGGGAAGCCGAGGGTAGATAAGTTGAAGTCCCGACGGCGCAGGCCGGAGGGACTTTTACTTATCTGCCCGAGGCTGAGGGACATTTAAATTTAATCCCTAAACTCTCAAGGAAGCCATGCTATTACTTTGTAATACCATGATTTCCGAGGAAAAAGCGAATKTGAATTCTTGTTGKTTTTTTTGCATGCTCAAATGTTTTTAAACAGAAGTAATAAAAACATTGCAAYAAACGCYTGCTTCAGGCATGAATTGGAATGTGACATGAACAAGAATGGATACGCACTGTTCTAAGAGTACCAAGTACTTTATTGTGTCATTGAAAAGGTTTTCGCAGAACAACAGTACAAAATGATATTGGTAATTCGACCATTGGTACTGATTTCCCACAATGAACTTTCAAACAATTGCTTTTCAGTTCTATTCAATGCTGAAGTTAACGAATCTTAACTTCAACTCCGAAAAGTTGTTTTTATATTTGCAAGTATAATGCCAAGAAGCCTATAACAGTACAATATTATCACTACCTACAATACACATGAATATACAATGAGATATGGGCAGGTCTGAAAAGACTGCTGGCCACGAAAGTGGACAGCGGTATATCCATGGGTGTTGCAGGTTCCACACGCCATGTCGGGGGTAGGGTGGGTGGGCGAATTAAACCAGTATGTGTCCGTGGTTTGAATCAGAATGGACAAAGCGTGCAGATCACGCTTATTTATGCACTGCAAGGCATTATGGGATATCTGTTGTTATGCTAATTTCATGCTTTATTTCCGGTAGTGAAAATAGTAACAAGAGGCCGTTATGCATGAGCATGTGCGCAACCGCTGCGTTATAACGACCATGGGCTCTAGAATACGGGTAGAATAACATTGTAGTCAGCTGTGGAAGCTTCGATTCTGAACATAATTGATGTTTTTACTTATCTTCCACATTTGTCCAAACAAAACCAAGTAGATATATTTACAATGCACACGAAAATCTTTCAAACTTTATATAAATTACTGTGAGTCTCGGGCTAGATTTATAACACGAAGCCACTTTGTACCGTTAAAATGTAGTGAATTATTTGTGCACACCTTTAGCAATAAAAAAATTCCTAAGATGTGAATCGATTGCACTGCAATAGTTTATTTCATAACTTATAATGATACAGCTATAGAACTACACATAGATATTTATGATAACTTGATTCAAACAAGCTCAACTCTTCAGCCAAAAGAATGCTAAATCTGTCGTGAGTGCTCAACAGCACGTAAAAATTTGCAGAATTAACACCGTTCCACATTTTTCATAGACAAGAAAACATTATCAAACCATTTGCAAAGCATAAGTCTTGATATTGGTAGCCTTATTCTAATGAGTCCTGGTGGTATATAAAAGGAAAGTAGTATTTCATGTAACAGTTAATAATATTTAAGCGTAAATATTGTACACTTCAAGAAACTGTTTTTCGAACATTTCGAGGTCGATGTTACTAAAGGATGCCTAATTATATTACTACATGTGTACATTTACCATTTACTTCATGACCTGCGTTGAATCTTGACCAGCACTCAGCAAAAACTGGAATAGTAGTTGCGTATATAAACAACTGCAGCCTCCAAATCATTAATATCAACATTTCTTAAATAAGATTTTAAACGGTCCCAATCAGTCCAATAACGCCAGTGTTTTTCCTCGTTGTAGGTTACACTATGTATGAGTGTTCTTGAGTCATGACAGAACATTTCAGGGTCAAAAACAGCCAAAAACATTTCTGGAAATTGTCCTTCGTGTCGTTGTACTTTCTCGCTTGAAGTGAATCATTTCAACAGACTGGCGCATGCGCATGCCAAACGGCCCCTTGTTGAAAAGGTCTAACCAAAATATTTAGTTTTCCCWGGAGGCCAACCTTATGCAAAACGCGTCTGGATAAATTGAATAAAACATGCCACGTAAAACAAAAGATGGGGCCGACACGAAGCGGATAAATTTGCATAGGAATGCAAACAGCAAACTAAGCTGTATATCGGCCAACATTTAATAGAACTAAAGTAGCTTTTATAACCTTACTATCTACTAACCACATGTCGAAAAGCCAAGAATAGCGTAGGGCTAGCCTCACCGGGGCATACTGAGAATGTTAGGTTTCTCCCGGACCAAAACAAAATAGCCTCACCAGGGCGTGAGAATGCTAGGTCTCTCGGACCAAAACAAGATAGCCTCACCAGGGCGTAATAATGCTAGGTCTCTCCCGGACCAAGACAAAATAGCCTCGCCAGGGCGTAATAATGCTAGGTCTCTCCCGGACCAAAATAAAATAGCCTCACCAGGGCGTAAGAATGTTAGGTCTAATATTTCATGCTGTTTGCATGGTCAGACAACTCTAAAACCAGTTAAATCACTCAGGCAAATACTATCGAAGCCTAAAGATACGATACCCATGAGCAAAAGAACTGGCGTTGTATACAATATCCCCTGTAAGGACTGTGCTGTTTCTTACATGGGAGAGACAGGGAGGGCATTAAAGACACGAACCAAAGAACATGAAGCTTGCGTCAGATTAGGAAAGACGGAGTCTTCCGCCTTATCTGACCATGCAAACAGCAACGACCATGACATYGCCTGGGATGACATAAAGATCTTAGCAACAGAAAGTCGAAGGAATAAGCGTAGATGGACGGAGGCATGGTTCATTTCTAAGAACAATAATGTTTTGTTTAATAGAGACTGTGGACGCCTGTTACCAGACGTATATCGTCCCATTTTAACTCAAAATTAATTTTCTTAGCTTGTGTGCGCGCGTGAAAATACTATAAGCTATTATCAAACATTGAAATTCGCCAAGTGCACATGCTCAGTGGTACGAAGTAGAGACTCGGAACCAGAGCTACCCGGTCAATTTGGCCCAAAAATAATCCCACATTTCAGTGTGACTGAAACGATAACGAGACCGTTTATTGCAGAGGTAAAAAGAGGACAGCTGTAGGGACATTCAGTTGTCCCTACTAGGAAGCAAAGGTTTCCTTTGCCTTCCGTTCCTTATGAATAACATGAGGGACGATTAGTCTAATATTCCCTCATGTTATTATGCATGAGGGACGATTACTGGTAATCTTCCCTCATGCTATTCATGAGGGAGGGATGTTCGCTTGTAAACATCCCTCGGAAGACAAAAGAATCCGAGGTGATCATGGTATTATTAAATTAAAGAGTGCTAAATTGTTCTGAATTATGCGAATTCCTTTGTTTTCTATTTTCAAATCCTATATTATATTTAGCTATTTAGCACTATTTGATAAGCACGTTTTCATACGTTTAGTATCGTCCACGAGTAACGCCAAAATAATAGCGATCTCTAAAGAGTATTTAGTCTGTATTTAGTGCAAGCAAAAAGCATGCTAAGACAATCTTGTATTCATGCGCTTTTCTTTCTTTATTCATAAAGATTAAATGAAAAAGAAAAAGAGGTCAACAAAATCAAGGTTGAACATGAAAAAGAGGTCAATAGGCTTCGAGAACTCGTGCGTGAAAAGCAAAAGTGTATGGAAGAGATGATGGGAGAGAGAAGGTATGAAATCAATGTTTTCGTAAATAAATCGATATATTGCTCTGAAAACAAATTTTGAAATACATTGAAGCTTGTTTCACAAACTCTTATTTTAAAATCCGCTAATAATTTTTTAACGCAAGAAACATCCACACCAACTCGTAATGCGTGCGCGCTCCCTGGTTACTGGATTCRTWATTGGTTATTCATAACTATTCATCCTTTCACTCTTATCTTTGAAAGGATGTTTGACCAGCAACTTGACCAAGTTTGGAAAAAGGCTGACCRTGACACTCAACAAATGAAGAAAATCATTCAAAAGGACAGCATGGATGAAACAGTTGAACAATAAACCAAATTYGAATTTTACGAAATCGCTGCAAATTCAATATGAAAGAAAGCCATGAATGGAAATGAGTATATTTRTTTACTCCTAATGACATAAATATAGATGAGCGCGCGGAGATACGGATTTTATCTTCGAGTGTTGAAAATTATAGTGAAAATCAGTTTTATTCCGATGCACGCAACCATTTTGAGTTATGGTATTTAAACTCCGGTAAGGCGATTATTGCAAATATTACAGTGGTTTAAAAAGAACCTTGAGCCACTAAAATATGTCTTGAAAGGATCAAAACATCGCTTAAGCAAGATGACAATTTCTAAAAAGACTGATCTTATGGTTACCCGAAAAATTTATTGGACTAGACACGGCTTTTATGAAATTGTTTACATCGCTAYAATTATTCCATACATTTTTAAAATGTTCATGATTCTTTTCAAACAACTGTAAAGCACATAGCATTTTGAAAACAAATACGAAGAGCTCTATTTCACTAGTGGTGTTTTAGTTCCAAAAAGTTAACCACCATGTTTTCTTTTTCCCACATACTTATGACACTATATTATACTATTGATACAAGTTAAACTATTGATACTAAGATGACCGATGACACACATATACAAAGTTTCCGTTGTTGAGAATGATTTGGAAGAAGAATGTTGACTTTGAAGAACATGAACTACGATAACTGCGCACATGAGTATACAAAAGCATGCATATCTGGGGCAGATATGTACGAAGAGTAGATAGCGCAATATGCACCGGATAAATTCTTATCCAGCGGTCACAACTCATACCAAATCTACCGAGAGCATAACTTCATCCGCCCTTCGTACAATCTGAAAAATATGGATGYCTTTTTTAAACGATGCGTTCGAAGTTGAAACCTCCAGCACTAAGTAGATATTCACATTCTGCATTGTTCAATTTACAGAAAGTGTTTTTTTTTAAGATTTGCGAAACTGTCAAGAAAAAAACTAAATATTGAGATGGAAAGTTGATATTTGTGTCCAACTATTTAGTTGTGATTACTGAGCAAACGATTTTTGGGATATATGCAAACTAGTTCCTGTGTCACACTGAACATGTACTTATTTTCCACAATGATAAAGCTTCAATAATGAAAAAACCAAACGATTTTCGCTACAAATACTGCATTTAATAAAAAAATTTGCTATGAATATATGGCACATTGGGAGTAACCACATGCGCTTTTTTATTTTATTTTTTTTTTGAGAGCCTTTAATTGGCTTGGGCACTCACTCGCTTTGTATTTTAATAAGCCCGGTTACTACGTCGTCCTATCCCCGCGCCGAACCAAATAGTCAATTGGTGTCGACACAAATACATTTGGTACTGCGTTAATTCATACGTCGAACCAAATGCAGTCAAAGGCATAATAAATCGTCCGATAACACAATTTACATCAACTATAATTTCCTAAAAATCTTTTTCGGCATGACGAAAGCTCAAGATATAACTCAGCGTTGAGCTGTTGTCGGCAGCACGAATGACGCTGCCGTGCAACCGTCGCACCGAACTTAGTTGATTCATATGTCGAGCCGTTCTTGTGCTATCTTCAAACTATTTGGTTCGTCGAGACGCTGGCTCGATGAATGGACCATGTCGTAGTTTTCTTAAGACTGCTTCTTTTGTTGCTTTTTTACCTATCAATGGTTGAACTTCAAGGAGTTTCCCGATTTCTATTGCTTCACCTCTTGCGCCAGGCAGAGGATGTATACTCGCTGTCYTCTTCCCTTTATACATGACTTCTCCGACGGTAGGATCTCCAATAATCAATGCTCCAGACTGTAACGAAAATGACAGGACTCTTGTCATTTGATTAGGCTTCTTCGCACAAGTAGCCTGCTTGCAGCCGAACTAAAACTGTCGTTGGGTCCGTCWGCGCGAATCGGCGACGAAAATCGTGTTCCTTGTACAGGGATATATATGTACTCTTATTAGCTGTTTGTCCACCGGGTATCACTTCTATCGTGAGAAATGGCATCAGTGTAAGGAGATAATAGAGATCATGTCAACACAAGGAAATAATGAAACGTACATGGCGAATGATAGGAMACTTACTTAGAAAGGATAAGGACAGTGATGCGATGATTGCCTTGACATGGGCCCCTGAGGGAAGAAGACGCAAAGATAGACCGAAAACAACATGGAGGAGAACAGTCGAAAAAGAAAGAAAATTGGGTTGGAAAACATGGGAAGAAGCAAGAGCAAGAGGTGTTTTATGGAGCGATACTGTACACTCTGTTGTCTAAGTATTGCCAAATATTTCAATCTTAGATTTCAGGTGAAGGTAAAGGAAGTTTTAAAGTAGGAGACGTGCTYCATTTCGACAACTGAGGGGGGACGTTGAAGCAAGAATGCCTTGGTCAGCCATTTTGCTGTTTTCATTTTTCGAGTCAGACTGGCGCGATTTTCGTCGCTGATTCGCAGACTGATCCAACGACAGTTTTGGTTCGGCTGCACGCAGGCTATACACAAGCAATTTTGCAACGATTGTCATCATATCTTTTCACGCTCTTTGATTGCATATTTTGAGCAAAAATCAACATGAAAATCGCAATTATATTTCGACGACTTAGGAGATCGTCGCGCGACAGTGCTTACTCATTACACTTTTGGCGTGCGAGAGCCAATCGGCGTTTGTTACGCGATAATTGCAGTGCAAAATTTGCCATTGTGAATAGGTTAAAGATAAGGTGAATAAATACAGTTTTGATAGTACCWTTTTGAAAAAATATCTGGGTAACCTTATCATGCTGATCATCGGAAGTTTCTTGAAGAATTTTCAAAGTCGTCAGAGAAGGAGCCAAGCGAAGTCGTTTTGTTTCAGACAGAAACTTGCCCGTCTTTGGATCTTTGAGGGCAGCGAGTGGCACCCTGAACAGAGGACCATCAGCAATGATGACAATCTCATCTTTGGTGAGCATGTGTAATACTGGAGATATAAGCCTTTCAAACAGAATGTTCAATGGCTCTCCATCATCTTCGTTCATATATATACATCTTGCATTGGTTTCTCTGCTGGATTTGGAAATAGGTCCAGGGGTTTCTGCGGTGATGAAGGGTTTATGACTGCGTTATATTTCGCGCTCAAGAGGTCTCGCAATGCACGGGCTCGTCCACGTTCACATAGCAACAGAGCCTCTTCAGGCTGTTWAGCCTGTAGTAGAACTTTGTTGAGAGCCTTGTAGGTTCTAACATAAGGATCGACAAAAGATATCTTGAACTGATCTTTGTCTTTTAAGAAATCAAATAAATTCTCGTAACATTCAATGCTCTTTCGRAGGTGTTCTTGAGCTTTGCTGAGGTCAGTTTTGTAGGAAATATTTTAAAAGAGAATATTATTCGTATGTGAGACTTTTAGTGATGATTTACGACTTTTCAATGGTAATTGACTCTAGAACAAATTGATCTTTTTAGGATCGGTACTGTGGTGACTCTTTCACTGAATCAGAAATGCCCAAAACTGATATCGGCAGTTGATTTTTCCGAATTTTTCTTAGGGTCTTTCGCCCGAAATAACCTCCTTCTAAGCACTATGACTTTCCACTACTTCCATTTCATGTAAAAAATACAAGATCCCTGATCGATGAGATACGACTGACGAAGATCCCCTTTATATCCCCGAATATTACCTTTCAAGAACCGAGAAGGAGACTGTTTGAAAGTACTATGCAAATTTTTATGTTATTGTTATTTCTTTTAATTTAATAATAATTTCCTTTTGTGAAAAAGTAATGCCCAGTATTGCTGATCACTTTGTCTCCTAACGATTTTTTCTCGACACTTGCCAATTATAATGAAGGAACTAATGCTCAGTCTATTAAGTTTAAATGCATAACAGGTCTTAAACAACAGAACAGAAATAAAATACCCTTTCTGAATTTTCACACGCTTATAAAACTGACACAGAGGTATKCTTGGGAGAATTCTATAGCATGCTCCTAGACTTATCGAGTACTTTGTTTGATTAGCGAGTGAAAACAAAAGAAAGAAGTGTTTATATGTTCAGTTGACACTCACCGATACTGTGATGCGCCATTGCTTCCACCAGTTTGTTATCCATCTCTTTAGCAATGGCTAGTGTTATTATATTCAATGGCTTTATGATATTCCCCTAATAATCGATAGGTATTTCCTAAGCTTCCGAACATTTTCCTTCTCCTTCCCTGTTACCAATMTCTTTTTGAATCCTAAGGCTCATTTTATAATATTCAATAGCCTTCTGATATTCTCCTTGTAACTGWCAAGTATTTCCTAAGTTTGCATTAGCATTTCCTTCTCCTCGTCTGTTACCAATTTCTTTAGCAATGCTTAGGCTCCGTAAGCATCTCCTTCAATTTGTTTATCTCCGATCTCTTTAGACATTTTTGGTGAAGTCCAATAGCCTTGTAATATTCCCCTAGTGATTGATAGGTATTTCCTAAGCCTGCTTCTCCCGCACTACTACCGATCTCCTTTTCAATGGCTAGACCCATTTCATAATATTCAATGGTTCTGTGATATTCCCCCAGTGATGTATATGCATATCCTAGGGCTTTGAAAATGACTCCATCTCCTGACCTGTCACCAATTTCACCAATTTTAGACTTTTTTGGTGACATTTAATGGCCATGCGATACTCCCCAAGCGATATATTGAYATTTCCTAAACCTGCATAACTGCTTCCTTCTAATGGCCTGTCATTAATCTYTTTAGCTATAAGTAGACTTTTTTCGTGGTATTCAATGGCCAGATGATATTTCCCCAATGACTTATTGGCTTTTCCTAAACATATATAACAGTTTCCTCCTCCTTCCCTGTCACCAATGTCTTTGGCTATACGTAGACTATTTTCGTAATATTCAACAGACTTCTGGAACTAGTAGTCGACAAGTATATCCTAAGTTGTTGTTAGCATTTCCTTCTTTCTGTCTCTTGCCAATCTCTTTAGCAATGCTAAGGCTCTTTGTATGGTATTGAATGGCCTTAAGATATTCACCTAGTGATCGATAAGCAATTC